AGCTCATGGAGGCTGAAAGAGGTGGTAGTGGATTATTTTCAGTCTATGTTGTTACTGTTGAGTTACTGCAGTCATTTTAAGAAAATTTTCCTGTTATTCCCTGGCACAAGGACAGTACAGGTTTGTGCCATAACCTTGTCCCTCACTCTCTGAGTTGCCTGGCTGCTAATCACATAGCACCCAACATCTCATCATCTGTAACACATATATCCCCACAGCAACTTAGTGGCAACGGGACTAAGTAATGGTCGAAGATAAAGACAGCTAGCAGAAGATAAAGACAGCTGCCCAGGGAAGTGGTTGAGTCACCATCCCTGGAAGTATTTAAAAGACGGGTAGATGAGGCGGTTAGGGACATGGTTTAGTGGTCCTGGTGGTGTTGGGTTGACGGTTGGACTCGATGATCTTGGAGGTCTCTTCCAACCTTAATGATTCTATGATTCTAAGATCTTTTTTCCTTGAAGACCTGTTTAATGTAGGCAACACAGCCCAGAGTGCTTCAGCTGACTACTTTAGGATGAGCTGAATCGCTCTCCAGGCTCCACAGCTCACATTGGAGCCACCGAAGTGCAGATGCCATGGCCTGACTCTGAATCCCACTGTGAGAGACTGAGGATGGAATTCAGGTACCTAGACATAAGCATCTTACATCATTTGATGTGATACATAATCTCCCCTAGGGTTACCCACTGCAGATCTGGAAAGACTTCTCTAGGTCCTACACCATATCTGCCAGTCCCCTGTCGGTGTCTCTGGCACCCAAGAAAGACATTGTCGGATGATGATACCCAGCTATGCCTAGGCATGAAGTCCTGCTCCAGAAGTTGCCAAAATGCAATATACAGCAGGGCAGAGCTTGGCCAGTTTCCACATTAAAAGACTGAGCCATCAGTAAACTCTATTTTCTTTGTTTTTTAAATGTAATTTTTTTTTTTTTTAAATTGCCCAGAATCTAAAAGCCATGCTCATCTCCCAGCCAGCTGTGTGGTCAGAGCACAGAGCTTGGGCTTAGCTGCTACAGCGTTTGTATTGTTTCTCTGGAAAAAAACCACAAATATTTGGTTTAGTCCTGAACAGAGTAGTCTTGCTTTGATTACACATCTCCAAATAAACATGTAGAACAGAGTTCAGCCTTACACAGTTTAATTATCCTGTATTAGCAACAAGAGGTGGGAAAAGGACAGCTCAGGAAAACAGCATCATAAAGCTGTACTAAGAAGAGCTACTCACAAGTGGCAAAGAAGGGAATTAATGCATTCCCTGCTACAGCTTCCAAGAAGCAGCTAATTCAAAACTGTTTAGAAAACAAGTATAAATTGTTAAATAATTTAACACAAAAAAATGTTTTCCTCAAATGGTCCTGTTGTTTTGTTTTGTCTTGTTTTTTAATTTATTTATTTGTCAGGCAAAAATTTTAATGGAATAATGGTCTCATTGCTATAATTGCAATAATTTACACACTTGATTTAAAAACAAAACAAAAAAACAACCCACAGTGATGCCATAAAACCCATGTGTCATTAGCACCTTTTTAATATGTAAATAATACATTGCCTGGCTCTCTAATGCAATTTTAACAGTATATCCTCTCTTATCACAGGACCAGCCAAAACAAAATCCCACAAAAACATCAGCGTATTCCTGGGTTTAAACCTCAGACTCAGTAAACAGACTTTATGGTGATGTACCAAGCCCTCTGTTGCAGAGACAGGAACACCGAGATAAAAAAGCCATAGCCCTCCCTTATTTGGTTAGAGGAGAGGCCAACAGCATTGTCCCTGCCCTATCTGCCACTCCTGCCTGCATGGTCACCTTGCAAGACGCTGGACAGACAATACATGTCCATTTGTCACCTTCCAGCACACGCAGTCACCTGCTCAGGCACGGTGGCATCTGCATTTTCTGGAGGGCAGCTTCTGACCATGCCCAGAGCTGTACTTGTAGGTTTACTGTCTGCCCAGATGGCAGATCTAATTTGGAAAGTAATCTCAGGCCACCTTTCCAAAGACTGCAAATACCCATGAGCAGACTGAGGTAAAAACTGTTGCAGCTTTTGGTGTTTGAGCTTGCAGGGCAGAAATCCTGCAAATATACACCCTCCTCTCTTACCTTTTATTGCAGGTGGCTTTTTAGGCACATTCACATAGGGCTTGCTTCAGTAAGAGGTGGCAGCTATAGAAGCCTACCTTTGATGACTATACCCATAGAAAATGGGTGGCTATAAACACAGGTCTTGATCTGGCTCTGTAGCATGTGTCTCGCACTCCTCTCTCACTAGCGACAGATTACGCTTGGTAAATGCCATTTAACTGGCTGGAGAGAAAATGAGATTTAAGAAAAAGCAGGGAAATGGCACCCACTGAATTCAGGGCACAGAGACAGTCTGGAGTGTCTCCAGGAACAGATTGAACAAACAACCATATGCTGGGGAATACACTGGAGCAAAGGGAATTAGGCTGTGTCCCCTCTTCCGGGTGGAGAAGCTGCAGAGCCGTAGTCTGTGCCTAATCCATGCAGATCTTCTAATTGCTATTAAAGATACAGGTGTGTCCCTCATGTTCCTAACACAGACTCTTGACAAGGGCTCCAACAGACACTCAAATGAAAAGGGTCATCCAAAAAAACCTATAGATGTCCTTCAACTAGATACCACTGCACCATCTCACTCATTAGGGGTTGGACTAGATGAGTTTTAAAGGTGCCTTCCAACCCAAACCATTCTATGATTCTATGATCTCACAGAGGTGAAAGACCCTGAAATTTGTTTAACAGAACATCGCTATGTATCTACCCTTCGCATGGTGCACTGGAATCTATGCCATGCATGGCACATGCAGACACACATGATGAGAGACGATCTACAGAGGCTGAAGAGTCACCGTTATGACAGGAACTAAATGTCACATTAACACAGCCTAGTTAACATGTTTGACCTCCATAAAACCTGCTCATTGCCATCACATTTATTCAAAACGATGTCTCATGCCATGTCGGGAGGTATCTCTTGTGTAGAAAACCTGTCCTGCCTCACCACTGGAGGGATGAAATCTCACTCAGCATGGACTAGGAAAAATGGTGCTGTTAAATACAATGCGATCAACATGCTTGCTTAATACTGAAATATAGCAAGCTGACCTAAGATGCAGTACAGTAACAGATAGACCATTGAGAGTTACTTAAAAGCGGTAAGCTTTTCACTTCATGGTATTTTCACTTTGATTGGTCTTTCCATAGCAAGAAACACAGTAAAATCAAATCAAAGAGTTTATTTGCATAGGAAATAGCAAAAATAGCACCACTGAGAGCTACACAGTAAAGACTTTGTTTAACCCTGGCATGTGAACGTGTTATTTAATTTCACTTTTCAGTAAAGCAGAGGCAAATTTTAACTGCTGCTGGGTGAGAGAAAGACTCCAAGGCTGGCAAATGGTTATCTCTGGGCTTTAGCAGTGGGGTCTGATTCGGGGGTGGTTATAGACAGCTGTGGCTTATACTCAGCTTAGGCAGTTTGGAAGCACCATGCCATATGGTGAGTGTGCCAGCAGGGCAGGGTGCCTTTTTTCCGTCTCCAAAAGACCTGATGAGATTTCCAAACTCATTCAGCACTTAGTGCCTGTATCACGTTCATTACTCCAATCTCTCAATACAAACTGCTTTGTGCAGAAGAGTTTTGAAAATGCAGCTGCTTTGCTGGCTGGCACATACGTCCGAGGCCAGATCACCTCTCAGATCCACACCTTTGTGGGTGGGATTGTCTTGGTCAGAGGGTTAAACTCACAAATGGCCAATTGTGAAGCTCTTTTCAGATTCCATCCCCTCTTCACTTTCTCTTTGCATTCTTAAGTTGATTTTGGCAATTAGCTGATAGGGGAAAAGGGACAGTGTCTGACTTTTTGCTTTCACCCTCGAACAAAATTTCCTCTGGGTTTCTGAAGACCTCTTTTTTCTGACCCTTCTCTTAGACCAGCCTGCAGCTTCTCACCTGCCCTCTAAAACATGACCCTGCCAAGTTATAATCATGGCGGATCATCCAAAACAGTGAAGTTGGGTCACACTTGGCTTCCGGAGATTTTTAATGCCAGGTGATTTTCTATGCTGCTCTGGCTGATTTTTGGGTGAAGCAGTGGTAGGGAGCTGTGTGTGTGCTGACAATGAAAAGGGGATTTGGCATCCCTGAGCTGATGGAGGACAGCATCATGGCTTTTTGCAGAGGCATCTCCCTGACAGAAGGAAGCTAAGCTCCATCTGGTAGGACCAAACCCTCCGAGTACTGAAGCTCTTGCACAGGGAGCAGTGAGGAGGTTTAGATCATCTCTGTGGTCTCTTCAGGCCTTACTGTGAGATCCCACATGGTCCCATAAAAAGCAGCGCCTATAGGATACAGATTCACTTATGGGCAGAAGAACATTACATTTAATAGGGAATTTCTGGGAAACACACATTGGCTGTTCGTAACTGTCTGTCCATTGTGAGCTGAATACACTGGAGACCTCTTCCCCAGTTTTGGCATGGCTTTGCCTTCCTCCCCTCCATGTGGATGGCAGATAGCACCAACAATCCTGCGATCAGCCTGTGTCTCACAGTTAATGCCCCGGACTGCACAGTGCAGGATTTTATTTCCATTTCAAGGGTGAGGGGTAAAGCTTTGGAAAAAATTAACCAGATAACAGACAAAAATTTTGGCATCGGAATGGTTTTGCATAGCTACACAATGCATCGATACTGTATGCTCTTCAAAAGAGGAAAAAAACACTTATTTTTAATGTTGTAATATGCCCTGATGTTAGAGAAAACAAAAACAAATTCACATATCACATCAAAAAAGATAATAATAATAATAATAATAATAATAATTCATAAAAATAATCTGACCGACCGGCAGCATTTGTTGGCTTTAGAAGGCCTCCCACAAAAGAAACACATTTGAAGACATCTGAGAGCACTTGGCAGGCGTGATGAATTCAAGTTTTAAAAACAAGTCTGGGGATACTCCCTGCATGCTAGGGCCCTTTGACATTAACGGGTCTGGCAGCCAGGCTTGCATAGTAAGCGCACTGAGTGGGGTCACACTGTCCGTTGGCTCCCGGAGGTCCCTGTGGACCCGTGAGACCAGGCACACCAGCTTCGCCTTGAGGGCCAGGTGGCCCTGGCATCCCATCTTTGGCATAGCCAGGCTCCCCTGGGAGGCCTAAAATAAAAACAAAATGCCCTTGGTGAGTGATACCCCCAGGGTGCAGTGCTCAGCAATGTAACATCACAGGAGATGGTTTTGCTGCCAAACTGGGATGCAGACATCAGCTTCCACAGACGAGGGTCTGGCTAGTATGTATCTACAAGGACGTGACAAGTGTGTCTTCTCTGAAAGAAAGATTTTGACCCCTTACAGCATACTTGGGCTGCACAACTCTGCTATGGCTGCTCTTCCTCTATCACCATGTTGAAGTTGTGCAGCTGCATGAGCCAACTAATGACATGTAGTCCTCATAGAGAGGAGGTGAGGATGGGAAACCTTGAGGCAAGAGCCAACTTTGGGAGATAACTCATTCGTACGAAGCATAGTGGGTCCATTGTTATTTTAAGGCAACTCAGGGCCAGTATGCCAAATTCAGACCATGGAGTTATGAAGGCTTCCCATAGTTTCCTACCCCAACAAAGCAGGATGAAGGCAAAACTGATCAAGGGCTCCTAATTTCAAATTAGAAACAAAATATATTTGCTGCTGCTTTGTCAGCAAAGGTAAGGCACGAACTGTATGCCTGAGGCACGGGTGTTGGATATGACCTTTTATAACATCTGAAGCTGCCTGGATCTCTGGGTTCAACTTGGTCACAACAAGATTCTGGCAAAGGCAGATAGGACATTTCACAGTGTATCTAGTAATTAAAGCTTCACTTTGGATTTGTCCCAAAGGTCAGTTAACCTAGCTGTTACTGAGATGGATCATTATACCTGTCAATCAGGCTAAGGAAACAAAGGTGGCCAGATACGATGCCATATACTTCTTCTGTTTTGGCCACTTTCTACAGAAATTGTGTATGCTGTATTTATGTTATCCTGATTGTCTATCTAATATGGCAGACACCTGTGTCCTTGCAGCAATTCTAAGTGATGTGTTTTGTGGGTTGTTCTGAATAAACACACCTGGAATTCCTGGAGGACCTATTTCTCCTCGTTGGCCAATGCCAGTGTCTCCCCTCTCACCCTTTGCTCCTCTTTCTCCTGTAGAGAGGGAAAGAAAAATAATGAACTGATAAGCATGATTTACTGAACTAAAGAATACTACCATAGGTCTTCCATCCACACTGAAGCCCATATATTTGCTAAAAATAGTTCCTAATTGTGGCCAGTCCTCTGAGATGGGACGTTAAGTGGGAATGAAGACTCACCCCACTCCAATTCTGGCCAGAGGTGGAACACACCAGCAATTGCTGGTCACATTCACCACCTCTGGTTCAACAGACTGAGGCTGCTTCTAACACATGCATTTTGAGGCCCACTTAGATGCTACTAACAGAAGAGGTGGACGCCAAAGTGTGGTAGACACATCCCTTCATCTGACTGCCCAAACACACCAAGTTTCACTAACCTTTAGGTCCAATTGGTCCAGGTGGCCCTTCAGACCCAGTCAGTCCAGGTTGTCCAGGCTCTCCTGGAGGGCCAGTTCTTCCTGGGAGTCCTTCCTTCCCGGGGGGACCAGGAGGTCCTGGTCTGCCATGGGACGCTTTTACATGTGCAGGCTGTATCTGAGCCAGGAGATAGGCTAACTTTGCTGTGAAGAGAGGGAAATAGGTTTGTTAGACTAGAAAGTCAGTGGTCCAAGAGATGGAGAACCAGAACCAGTGGCCCAGGAAAGTCCAAGTATTGTCACAGATAAATTTTTCAGGGTCACCCATTTGTTGTCCCCACACAATCCTTCCCTATAAGCCATGATGGTGCCTCCCTGTCCCTCTCTAAATTATTTAAACCTCATTTCTCAGTAGCTTTAAACTTCTCCTAAATTTCATAGTTAATCCTAAACACCTTTCTCATCCTCTGCTCCTTGTCCACCAAGGATCTGAAATGTCCTTTCCTTTAACTGTGCAGCTGGTGGATTTCTGTCAAACTGGAATAATTACTGCTCTGAATGAAAAGAAGAGCCTGTTTCCACTGCTTCTGCTACACAGAGCGAGATGTTACATGGCTGCTCTGTAGGGAGAAAGCTTACTTTCCTTGTTCTGGGCTGTTACACATGTGGAGTTAAAGTTAATGTACCCATTTTGGGCTGTGAAGTCAGAAACTGTAACTAAGGCAGCTCCCTGCGTCAGCATATTCTCCAATTTCCAAGCAGGCACATTGCTTGCCACTTCCATATTAAGACCCTGAACAGCCTCGAGAGCTCTTAAGACATACTCAGCATCACAAAAACATCCTACAGAATAGAGGGAGAAGGGTTTTCTATCTTCTCTTCATTGATCCAAAATCTTGAACGTTTTTAGATTGGCATGGAATTTGAAGTCTGAGAGCGTGTAAATAAAATCCTTCAAATAAATCACTCTGTTGAACCATGATCTTTAGCATGGAGGAAAACGCCTGCAGCTATGTGTCAGCTGCTCCAAGAGCTCTGTGAGAAGAAGCACTACAGCTCTGCATTTCACTGTAGATGGGGTCAGTAGTGGTCTGCAATTCATGTACTTTGAGAGAAGCAGCAGCCCACATCCACTCCACGCCCTCTTCTCATACTGATGGGTATCAAATGTCACATCCAGAAATCAGGAACATTTCTCCTCCAGCTGGAACCTCAAAAGCAAGTTTATGCTCTACTCTGATTACTTTCTCTTTCAGGGCACTGAATTAATCTGTTTGAATTTGTATCTTCTCTTGTCCTACCACCTCAGCCCAGGCATCTGCAGGAATGAGTCTGCAGCAAAGCTGTTTTGGTAGCAAAAAGCCATGAGGTGCTTAGCATAGGCAATGGCCTTGGGCTGAAGAAGGGAGAAAGCCCCTGTGCTATTGCTGGGAACATCAAGCTTGGGGAACAGTAAAACTTGCTAAGCACGTTTCATTTTACACATTCCTCCTTCCAGGCAGGCTTGTTGCAACATGGCCTTCCATAAGCAGGAGAGGTTCAGGTGCCACCACAGCTATGGAAAATATCTTTCATACTCTCAGATATATCTTCTGGCTTCCCAGAGCAGATTACTTACCATCTAGCTGCTTGGCTAACTCCTCTTGGATGAGCCTTCTCAAAGTCTCTAGAGATGGGGATTCCCCCTAAAGAGTAATAATCGCAGCAATAACAAGACATAATAATCACAGCCAGGGGATGTGCAAATTAAACCCTCCACAAAGGGTTTAGTGGGTTGCATTTCATCACCCACAGTATACACAGGGCTGCAGAGACTGCCTGAAAGAAGAATGTAAAGGGACTCAAAACATCCACAATTCCCAATCTGCTGGCAAGCCGTGGGCTCAACAGTGTAAGCAGGGAGCCTGGTCAGAGGGCATAGTTGGGACACTGTCCCTGTCTCCTTCCTAGAGAAAATCTCCCTCCTATACACTCATAGGAGAAGTAGTAGAAATCGAATCAGGAGACATCCTCTGCCCTACGAGATCATAGTGGAAAGCCTACCTCCTTTTTCAGCCTTGCTCGTTTCCGTGCAGAGAGAAGCATGCGTGCCCTCAGGGTAGTTAAGGTGGGTATCTAGACTTGCTATAAACACTCATACCGGATGCATCGCCTGCCAACAGACCTTATCTCGGGGAACAAAAGCCAGTTTACACATATGATACCCGTTCTTCCAAATGAGTACAAGGTTCTTTCTGATTTCAGGCTGTTGAAGGGAGACGGGGGATGTGGCTGCCTAGCCGTGGTCCCCTACCCAGCCTCCAAGGGACAGTAACTTTCATCCCCTCTCTCAGCTCTTTTGTGCCAACTTGCTGTTGGACAGCTGTAATGGCCGTCAAAACTCAAAGCTACGTGAACAACAGCTCTGGATGATGCAACTGAAAAAATGATGAAAGCATTTTTGGTAGGCGGAAGGAGAATGTTTTAGGTTGTGGCTTTCCAAGAAAATAAAAAAAGTGGTTTTAGGGTAACCAGACTCTTCTCTTTGCATAAACTCAAAAGCAAAAATGTAGCTATATTTGAAAATTCATTTTGAACCAGCAAGATCAAATGTTTTCCTTTGTAAATCATAAAGTGAGATGTTTCACTTGAAATACACTTTTCATTTTTTGGCTAAAATTATTCTTTGAATTTCTGCCAGTTTTGAAAATAGTTCTGGTCAACCTGAAGGCTGCATTCTTTTGTGTATGAGCTATTTGCATGGAAGTGTTGCTTTTCCCTCACACCTATCCTTTTAACATACAAGGATACAGTCTGTTTCCTCTGTGTTTATAAAAACCTCGTGAGGTCTTCTGAATCAGAAGTTACTCTTCATTAAGAAATGTAGATTTTATTAAATAGCTAGAGACAGACATTTCAATTTTAACCAATAACATTGTCGGTAAGTACAGAGTTGGTCTATTTGCTGCCTTCTTCCCAACACAAATTTTGCATGAGAAAAAAATGTGTTTGTTGGTGACAAAAGAAACAATTTTGTCATTAAGTACTAACCATTTGTGATGGTTCTTAGTGAATATGCCAGTAAGTAAACATGATTGTGGAACATACTTTGAAGGCTTACAAATTATCTTTTCAAGTTTGAACCCTATTAGTTGCATTAAGCCTCCATAATCATCACTGGATTTCATCAAATCTCTATGTTGTTGAGACACGTAAAGAAATGCTTTGTCTAAAATTCACCCAGCTTTTACATCAGAGGTTATTTTACTGTTTATTCCCTTCTGAGGTAATCTCAAATTCATCCTCAGGATGGACATAGTGGATTCACTAGTGTTGGTAGTTTTTCTCATTCTTCTGCATACATTACCCTCAGGCACTCTCGGTAGCGAGATTGTTTCCCGTTAGGGAAAAAAAAAAAGAGAATATTAAACAAAAATAGGATTTCATGAATTCTGATGAGCTGACTCCAGGATTTCCAGGAACAGAGCAGTGACCTTTCCATGGCTCAGCATTTTGTCTCTCATAACAACCAGTAGCAGAGAAAGGCGTAAAACCTCCGTATGAAATGCTATGCATAAACACCCTTATAGAAAGAAGCTTTTGCAGACTCCAGACCCATGGCTATAGTCACAAGACCTGATTTAGGCTTTTAGGGGTATAAGGTGTCAGGGACTGGCTGCCCTGGCTATAGGTCTGGATTGCTCAGCTCTCCTGAAGTTCAGTCCAACACCTCCACAACACATTCCTGAGATATGCTGTAGCTCTCCTTTTTGTGTATCAAGAGATAAAAACGCTGCCTCCCCATTATAATACACACTTGCTTTGGTTTCTATCAATCAGCCTTACTGTTATCTTAGGTACTTTTCTGATCACACACTGTGGCAGTAAAACTACTATACAAAGCCCTTCTCTGGCAGTCTTACCCTTGGTCCTGGAAATCCTGGCTGTCCTGGAGGACCGGGAGGTCCAACTTGCCCAGTGTCTCCTGGGGGTCCATGAGGACCCATCAGTCCTGGATGGCCTTTATGACCAGGTATCCCAGGATCACCTGGAGGGCCCTTTTCTCCTTGAGGGCCTTTTTCACCTTTGATGCCAGGCTCTCCCTAAGTGAAAAAAATGACATTGCCACCACAAAATAAGAGGCAAACTTCTGATTTCCAAGCACAGCAAAACACAAACAGCTGAGCTGGCAAAGTTACTGAATACAACATCTGGTGCATTACAAATGATCCACGAATTATTACTGACGAAGAATAGTTAAAGAGAGGGCTGGGAGGGTGGGGAGCACAGCAGATCTCTACAGGCCATGCTTCACTCTTGAATGACCCCTTCCTCGGCCCCTAACTCAAAATAGCTCTCTTTATTTCAACGTAATAACATAACATAATATTCTCCAACCTACCCTCTCTCCTTTGGAGCCAATGTCACCTGGTTTCCCTGGTGCACCCTGCAACAAAATAAGGGTGAGCATGAAAGAGCTATCCATAATAACAGTAAATAATAAAGCAAATGCTTTTGCAATGATTCTTATGACCTGGTGAAAATTTATTTTCCTGTCAGTCCCACAGATTCCTGAGAGCTCCCTGTCTGTTCTCAAATATCAACAATACAAGAAAAAAATCAATTTATTGCAACTCAGGTAGCATCCTTGATGTTTTTTCCCCAAGACACCAGCCCTACTTTGAAACAACTGGGAATTTAACTTACCTCTTTTCCAGGAGGACCCTTCTCTCCTGGTTCTCCCTGAGAGAGAGAGAGAGAGTGAATTTAGCACCGCACTGCAAGAAAGACCCTACCTAATAACCACAAGTCTTGCTTTCTGTTTAGAGCCCAAGTTTTCTGCTACACAGCAGTGGGTTTGAATGATTTAGCTTATCCTACTGCTATAGGTCATTCCTGGAAAGACACATCCTACTATTTAGAAAGCATTTTTTAGTAAAGCTGCATACCCTGTAAATGTTTGTAAATAAAAGGAAGTCATTTCTACCGAACCAGCTGAGATCAGGACAGATGTTTCATTGAAAGTGTGTTCCTGCTTTCAATACATTTTATTCCTTTTTCTTACAGACATTTCACGAAGCTTCGTACACTTTACTTGGGCTGGTTTAGCTTAAGCAGTGCCGATGTTATAGCCGTAACAGTCTAAAGATGTAAAGGAAGTAAATTTTGTAAGAAGAGGTACCATTTTGTATTACACCAGCTGAGATAATGGATACAGAGCCAGTGATAAAGCAAGTTTAAGCCTGAAAGCTTGCCTGTGTTTCAGAACTATATCATAGAATCACAGAATCATAGAATCATAGAATAGTTTGGGCTGGAAGGGACCTTTAAAGGTCATCTAGCCCAACCCCCAATATCAAATAACCTCAATTTAAACAAGCACCTTATTAGGAATTTTTCTATACTCTTCATTTATAATGTGATAATTAGGCAATACAATCTTCGCATTTCAGCATTTCAGTGAAAAAGAAGTCACTGCAGTCCTGAAGTGCACTGATAAAGCAAAGCAAACATTAAACTAGTTATTGTTAAAATTCTGCCCACTTTCCCATATCATGAATGGAAAGATTCATCTTTATAGTCCATTTACAATCCACGCACATGATCATATCTATAATGTGTGCATGCAGGTGGTATTTTTCACATAACCTGGAAACACATATAACAACTTTGACAGTGCTAGCATACATCTATGTATGCATGAGCAATGTAACTAATCACAGATGTGTGATCACATCAGCTCCAAATTAGCCAACATCCGACTCACTCAAGTATTCCTTAGGGCCACTTCAGTTTTAAATGGCCACCACGTTTGCTGCTTTAAATTAATTTTCCGGAGAAATATTTCTTTATCCTCTTTTCATCACGAAACCCCCTTTCCAATCATTAAAAAAAAAAAAAAAAAGAAGAAAAAAAGAATTGTCCTGTGGAAGATTCAGCTCTGCAAGATTCACATGAAAACCTTTTAAATCTTATTTTAAGTCACAACAGAGCTAGAAACAAAAATATTTACCTAACATTCACTCTTTTCATCTTTCCAGTAAAATGTAACATATTTTATTCGCCTTGGAAGAGCTATAAATATTGGATTTCAAGGCTATGATATTTTCATGTATATAGGTATTATTTTAGATCACTTTGGGAGATATACGAATGCTTTAGTTGCAATGTATTTCTGTCGCTGGTAAAATATCTATATTATTATCAGCACTTAAAATTTCACTATTTAGCCCTTCTGGGGTTCATGCAGGGATATAGTCTGAGTAACTTAAATACCCCATACCCATATTAAGTCGAGTATTGAACCAGCCTGATTAATGCACACATTATCAGGGCTGACTGACAGGTACCAGCTCAGTAAAATGAGATTATGGATGTTTGTCCATAAGAAAAATACTATTTTTGCAGTCCAGTTTCCTTTAGAAGTAAATAGTTTGGTTTCTGGATCTGTCAGATCTCCTGCCTATGTTTTTTACCCAATTAAAGATGACTACGTTCCACCTTCATCGGTCCAACATTTAAAAGCAGACAATTAGTGGGTCTAATCCACCCCCAGATGCACTTACAGGTGGTCCTCGGGGTCCTACAAAGCCAGGGAGTCCTGGGCTGCCGTTTTCTCCTTTATTTCCTTTAGGACCCTTAGGACAGAAATGAGACAGACACTAGCAGCCCTTTCTCCAACATCTCTTTTCCAGAGCATGCATTTACAGATACATTGGAACTGGGAAATTTCACTGCAGCAGCAGGACTCCCAAAACTGACAAGGAAAGGAAGAACAAAGTCATTTAGAAAAAGCAGATTGCAAACACCATGTTTGCATTATTAATAAGCTATGCGGGTCCCTGTGAAAAGATGAAAAGGAAGAGACAATTATGGAAGTGACAGGAGGTATGTTCAGTGGCTATTCTGGCGCTGCATGGTTTATAAGGCGGTGTTGCAGAGTGGAAACGCTGTGATGTGCGATGACAGGGAAACAGTGCAGATGATCATACTGCTCAAATCTGAGAATACAACCAACAGACAGCTACTGAGTTGCTCTTTTGCCTTTATTTCCAGGTTCAATCTAAAAAATGTCTGCTGTTTACTTATCTCTTGTGATATTCTGCCAAACTATCCCTTTTTCTTACAGACCAGGGCAGCTTAAATGGCATCTCATGATACAGAGCTATTTCACGTACGCTTCCGATTTTTTTTTTTTACTGTTATTTTAACCTTTTCTTTCACATCTTTGTCCACTACCTTCTAACTCAGAACATATCCCTTTTTCTTCTTAGGAGTAAAACTTGTCTTCATTTTAAGCCCATCTTGTGTAAAGTGAGCACCAACGAACCTGACAGGCACAAAGCACATGGCTTTTGGGTACGCAGTCAGCCCTGAAGATTTCAGGGGCTGGGCTGCATTGCTATGCGCAGGCTTAAGCATGAGCACTGTGAAGTGGGATGGGCACTGTCAAACAGCAGATGCAAAAGGAGAAGGCTCCTGGCAGGTTTTACCTTGTGATTACAAGTCAGCAATGGTAAAGGTGGAAAAGAAACCCTTATTGCCATGATAAGCTTTTTTTCAAAATAGAAATATAATATATTGGCTTGTCACACCACATTGTGAAGGAAATTAGTGCATTTCCAGACAAGGTTGGAAATAAATGGACTTGTGTATAGCACAAGGAAATACTTCCCGTAATAACCTTTATGAAAGGGAGAGGATTCATTCCAATGGCAGAGAAGGATACTGATGAGATAACTGTCTGTTCTGCTGACCAACACTGTCTCATTGTTTTCCCTTTCTCAACCATCTGACTTTATCCTTTTTCAATCTCTTATGTTATTTTTGGACTGTAAATCCTCTGGAGCAGAGACTGCTGTAGTTCTGTGTTTGTGCAGGAAGCTGCCTGGTGAGACACTGACTGTCTAGGTAATGTGATAACACGATGATGATTAAAAAAATAACCCCATTTGGCATTCACAGGGCATCCCAAAGCCACAGTGGCCTGGTGAAGACTCAGAAAGCTAAAAAGCAGTAACAGGAATTGCGAACAGGGGTGGGCGTGATGAGAAGAAGAAATGAAGGTTGAAAAGGCGACAGTGGGGATCCATGGGGTAAGAAGCGATGGCAGTGGTCCCAGGAAGGTAAGAAGAAGTTATGTCAAGGAGAAAAAAGCAGCAGCACTAATTCTTGGCTGCAGAAAGGCTGCGAGACTGCACCACTCCTACCCCACCTGTAATATGATTATTATAACCTCCCCATGCAGAAAGGTGTCGCTTGCTTCACTGAGACCACTTAGGAGGAGTCATCCCTGCAGCAAAGCAATATGTGCTCAGGGCACAAGTCTGTAGCGAGGCTGAGGTTGCTTTATGGCATTGCAAGGGCCACAGAGTGCAGTCCTGCTGTGATTTTTCAGATTCTCCTGCTATGCCTTTGTTTCTATCTGAATCTAGCAGCCCAGCAAGCTGTAATGTCTAGGTGGACAAAGAGAGGGAAGAGCCCTGCATTGCAATAGATGCTACTGGACACAAAGGTACATTTGCATGGATTTGCTGAATCCTGAACAATTTTCAGCAGCAGAACAGAGAAAAAAAAAAACAACTCACTGTCCTCCTTACAGCTCTTCATTACCATGCTGTTCTTCCACACAGGATGGCCCCAGGGGGGGTTCATTCTGCTTTATGATCTTGGTTTACTGCCCACTGTCTGCTCTCCCCAGGAGCCTGGGGAGGATTTTTCTGCTGATTTTATTCCTCAATGGCAGTCTGCCAACTCCCCGAGGCCCTCTCCTTCCCTGTGACAACTCTCTGCTGGCTGCACAGTCTTTGCCTGGCAAAACTAAATCTACTGGTGAAGATAAGGCATGCCAATCTTTTTTTCCATACCAGGTAATCAATCATTTCCTTTTTCTGTGAACACTTAACTTTTGCTGGGAAAAACGATGACCCAGCTAGCAGCTCAATTCCAGGAATGCAGCCAAACACCCTTCGATGTTGTGGCCAGCCAGTGGTTTTCAGATCACTGATCTTCAGACATGGCAACTTCAGGGATGGTAAGCAGCTACACATAATCCACTCCATCTATGCTTCATCAGTCCTCTCCTTGACATAACTGCTTGCTGCATGAGTTTCCCTTTGTGGTACTTACTGGGTTACCTGCTGGGCCAGGTTCTCCTGCGGATCCAGGCGATCCATTCTTGCCCTATGTCAAATGGAAAAAGGTTAGTGAAGTAACGTATACTACAATTACAAATATCCACCTACTGCTACACCAGCAGGGATTTCTTTAGCATTATCCAACCTCCTCTCTTGGCAGCCTGCAGAGTAAGGATCTCTTATTTCCAGTTGACCCCACAACTTCTGCATCCCTGATTGCATGGCTGACCCCATCTCAGGACAAAGATTGAGAGATGTGGACCCAAATCCCCTAGTCTGAAGAGGACCAAACCAGCACTCCTTCTCCTCCTCCTTTTCTTCACCCTTGTCCCTATCATATGCAGCATCCTCCCGGATGGATGGAGCCACCTACTGTGTCTGCTCCAAGTCACCAGTGTTCAGACAAGCCCCTTTGGTCCATGTTTGAAGCACCTTTTGACAACTCACTGATGAAAGTTAAAGTGCTCTGCACTAGCTGATAGATATCTCCAGATCCCCCCACACCTTCCTGTGTTAGAAAACTTCCTCTCTCCAGTGACTGAGGTAGGTCCTGCAAATTACTGCCTATCATCCTCTTCTCAAGGCTATCATCTGAATCACAGTCAGAGGCCAGGTATCTATTTTTTAATCATCTCAGGATTCCCCTTTTTGGGGAATGGAGAGAAACACTTGTCCTAAAGCCTTGAGGCATTTGATACTTGCCTGACACCAGGTAACTCACAATGAGCCACATCATTCTTTAGAAGGACCCGTTTCTCACCATTCCTTACCAGAGTACCTGAGCTGACCATCTACACTGACTAAAGTTTGGTGAGATGAAATTCTGCACCCTGCTGCTCCCTCCTCCCAACTCACCATGCAGAGATGTTTTTCCCTGCATTGGAGTTGACCATAAAGACCAGCCCTTTCAGTGGCAATATTCAAAATCATGCCTCACGCTCCTTATTAGAGAAGAAACAAAGCAGAGGAAGAACAAGAGAAACTGATACTTTGCCCTCCAACATACAAAACCCCAAGTATCTCTTCTCCAAAGAAGAATATGGCCTGGAGTTATGATAATTTCTGTCTCCTCAAATCTTTTTATTTATTGCTAGTGTTGTGCAGGAGCATGACACGTTAGTGAGTGATGCCAGCAGTACAGGAATAATGAGATAAATTACAAGGTAGACACAGGAGTTCTCCATATGTTCCTGCAGTCTAATATAAACCCCTACCCTCCCAGCTCAGAGGGACCTGCCGCTCTAGCTCCTGGCATTGCTGGCTGAATCAGCATTTTGCCCTGATTATGGAACATGTTGTAGAATCTGTTTCACTAGTAGGTCTTCCGAGAAGGAAAAGAAATCACTCATTGCAACATATTAAAGATGTGCCTAGGTTCAGTAAGAGAGACCTGCATTCAAATTTGGAAAGGGTTGATTTTTAAGAGAGAATTGAAAAACCCATGAAATTAATAAAAGTAATTTCTCAGCCATCCCAAATGACACTTTCTGAAATGTCAACTAAATCGCTATTTCTTCACTGAAGTTGTAATAAAACTCTACAGGTGTTCAATTAAACAAACCTTTTCCTAAAATTATGCTTTTTTTTTTCCAGGAAACATTACAGAGAGCATGACAAAAATTAATAGTATCACAAGTGGACCCCTTCACTCTCAAACTGGGCACCTGCAGTTAGTGTCTACCTTTGAAAACTGAGGCCATGTGAGAAGCGAGTGAGATGCCAGAGGCAGGACTGGAATATGAGCCCTTCTGACACTGCAGTCCTGGCAGAAACCATTAAACTATTCTTCCCACTGAGTCAGCAATCATCACTCCATTATTGTAAGTCTTCATCAGTTTCTAGCAATATCATTCTGATTTGTCGTTCTCAAAGTAGGCAAAGTGTTTTAATTAAACATCACCCGAATCTTGCTTAAGACTCTTCTTCCAAAACAGAGTTCTGGCCTGCAGGACATTCCCACTATACACAATGTACCTCCAGAAATGGCTTGGGAGGAGAGAAAACTCACCGGTTGCCCTCTGAGTCCTCGAGGGCCCTGTGGTCCTATGGGACCGGTATCACCCTGAAATGCAGAAAAGTATTCTGCTGAGTGAGAAAGATCTGACATGGAGGCAAGCAAACAAGCATTTAAAAATGTTCCTACTAAATTATACTGTTCACATATTAGGGGAAAACAGCATTAAAGAAGTCTCACTACCCCCTTTCAGTTACATATGAGGAAGACCGGCCTTTTGAATTTTAAACATCTATCACTAAATGCAGTCTGATTACAGGTGGAAACCATTATTATCAGGTTATCTTAAAGCTGGATTTCTCAGGGACAGAGATTCTCTGGTATTTCTCAAGAATTGACTACTTTGTTCTCTCTTGAGGGAGGCTTAAGACCTGCTTCTATCTTCTCTGAGGGGTTCCCTTAGGTCTATCTTCCATTTTACTTTGTAGGGTACCATTTACAGCACAACAGTTTTCCAGTGATACAAGGGGGTGCAAATGAGAAACCACTTCCCCAAGTCCCATGGCAATGGCACGTCAGCCGCTTGGTACATTGCTCAGCAACTTGCTGCAGGATCCCATGTCAGCTGCACTCTTCCAGGACTTTGTTACGTGACTGCATTTGACACTAATAATGTCAGAGGATCTGTTTGTACCATGTTTCCTCTGAGCAGCAGTGTCTTATTCCATAGATATTTCATAGATTTCAGTGGAGCTACGCACTCAGTAAGGTACAGCTCTTGCAAAGGAAGCGTGACAAAACCTGGCCCAGTAGGAGCTGCAGAATGAAGCACTGCTCAGAGAGGGGTGGCAGAAAGCAGGTCCATGGCTACACAGCACAGCCCGGGATTCAAACAATGCAGCTTTCTCTGCCTTTCCAATGATATAGCTGACATTTAAGTGTCAGCAGCTGAGCAGTGACAAAAGCCCTCAAGTTCTTTTTTACCCTAATGATCTTTGCACAAATCATTCCCTGTGCACTGCTGCAGTAATTCACCCTTTATTGCAGTTTCTGCAGCTGTTTTAGGTCAGGGTCACTGTGAATGAAAATCTTCATTTGTCAGGGAGCAGGAGATTAGTTTCTGCTTAAAATGGTACACTCACATCCTTCCCTGGTGGCCCCTCACGCCCAGCAGGACCTGTCGCACCTGGCTCCCCCTGCAATTCAGCAAAAAGGAAAGAGAGATCAGCTCAAGGTTAAAGACAGGCCAGTAACACCACTATAAGTGGTATGGAGTTTCTGCAATATTGGACTGAGCTCAGTGAAAACTTTTTAAAGCCAACAAGAGCCTTGTACATCATACACGACACACAGCTTATAAAAGTAACTCAGAAGCATCTTCTGTAAGTGATGCACAAGGCAGTGCACCGCTTTCCAGCAGAATATTTGTTACTGCTAGTGCCGTCACTGAAAACCACCAACCTATTCATGATACAGAAACTACCGTAATGAGAAAGAGAGGAGGAACTCCAGCACTGGATTTTTCAGCTAAGCTCCTGCAAGCAGAGCATTTTATTTCCCTGTAAAAAGCCAGAATTAGGCAGAAGGACATTCAGTTTTGTATTCCACTTTCTACACCCAGGAGCTTTTTGTACTGCATTCCTCAGAACTGAGAGCAGACCAACTTTTCTTACAGGAGTTTGGGGTTTTATGATCCAGAGGCAACTAAGTCAAAGGGCTAGAGACATTTCTCTTCTCATTTCTGTAAGTTTTGTCCCTCAACTTACTTTGCACTTCTTAGGCATTTTTGGAGGAGAGCTGATACTTGCCCAACAAGTGCAGCAGGGTTCCTCACCTTGCACGTCAGCATTTGTACCAGAGGGATGTGGTATGGAGGCATCCTTGAAACTTTCTCACAAAGGGCTATCTCAAAGGGAGCATCAGAGGACTCAGCTCTACCAGCTGCCTCACCTTACCTGGAAGCAGAACTTCATCAGAGGGAATGAAGACAGCTGCTGTGATTTTATGCCATGGGTGTGGCCCATGGAATTGTGGTTGAAAACAGACATGTTAAACACAGACCTGTCATCGTTTTTACCTATTGCCTCAGAAAGGTCAACTTCAATTCACACAATCTTTCTCCACAGGATCATGATGCATGTGGTAAATGTTACTTACCCGGGGACCTGGGGGACCTGTATCTCCTCTCTGTCCTTTGAAACCCTACAAAAGAGAATGAAAGTAACAATCACTCTGATGCATGAAACATTAAGAAAACTCTAGCTTGAGTGCGCACTTAATAACCTTTCCAGTTTTGCCTAAGATTACTGGGGAATGGTCAGCATTGAGCTGCCATGTTCCAGGGAGTTATCAGGAAGGGCCATGTCACAGGGAGAGAAAAGCCCTTTCCATAGCTCCTTAGGCTGCAAGACCAAGACGATACTGTCTGTATTCCTGGTGTGACCAGCCCATAGATTATTTAGCCCTAAATTTCTTTGTCCCCATCCTTTCAGAGGATGCGTAACAGAGCACAAGGACTACAGAGAGTAGACCATGCCTTCTGGTAGAAGGGGTGTCATGAGGTTATGTGCTTTAACTTCCAGGTAAGGGACCTACTCTTTCACTGAATGTGAAGGAAATGCCTGTGTTTGATTTTTGTTGATTATTTATTTATTTAGTCACATGACTAAACGCATGACTATTATCACATGACTAAATGACTAAACGCCATGACTATTCTCAGCCAGGCCAGTTCTTTGGTTATATGTTTGCATCAGTAAAGGCCTTCATCGGCCCAACAAAAGCTTCCCGGCTACAGTACAGAAGACGGACTGGATTGAACCCTTCAGAGCAGCACCTACCGGTAAACCTCTGGCACCCTCCTGGCCTGGGAGCCCTGGTTCTCCAGGCTTTCCCTGTGGGAAACAATTATGTTCATGTTAGCGAGAGTTTCAGGTCCATCTCTCTGCTGTTAAAACCTTCTACTCTTCTCCCCTAGACGTAACAGCACTGAGAACTCGGATTGGCCAGGGTTTCTCCAGCTACATTGGAATCTGAGCGTGCAAGGAGGACAGTAGTGACAGATATTCCTGTACATACCCTTACCCACACTGTCACGAGCGCAACCTTTGAGGTTCAAAGGCAGCTTAAACCTTTGGACTGGTGCACCTTTACAGTGTTTTAGTGTCAAAGGGGTAATGCACAGAACTGCACCAGTACCTAGTAAGCACATACAAAATCAGCATCTGCATGTAGAAACCAGGTGTTTTGATGCAAGCACACAACTGTCTGCAGCTGCTGTGACAAGTGCTGCTCCACATACCAGTTGTCCTAATGACTGGGGACTTGGCTCTTCCCAGAACCACTAAGTCCCATTTCACAAGTCACAGACAGAAGCTGGCAATACCAGATGCTGGACGCACATTCTTCATATAACAAACACAGTTGCAAGGAATAACATTCACTGCCCAATTTATCAACATTTCCTTTTGGCTGACAACTTCATGGCTCAGCTTTTTTCCCTCAACAAATGCAAATATAGACTAAGTAGAGAAAATCAAATACAAAACCCCCAATCCTGGACAACAGAACTGTCACAGAGCAATCCAGAAAAGGCTTCTTTAAAGACACCTCCTCTGATCTTTTTATGCCCCATAATCTTCTACCTAAAAAATGGATTACTAGCTTTAATGTTACAAGACCACCTTCTTTCTCTGCAATATTTACGGTAGCTGTAAAAGTGGAATCACTAAGGTTTAGTGTATTTATGGTAGCTGTAAAAGTAAAAGAACCCAGTTTCTTTTCAAGATTGCTAGTGTGTGACTCTTATAAATTGCTCAAGACAATATAATCCTTCTGGTGCTAAAAAAAAGATGTGCAAACAGGCTCCCTGCCCCCCCTAAGGAGTCCATAGATAGGCAGCTCCAAAAGCAATAACTGGATGCAGGCTCTGATTGCCTGAGCGAAACAGTTTTCAATTACATTACCGGTTCCCCAAGAGATCCTGGCTTGCCATCTTTGCCGTCATTCCCAGCAATGCCCTGTAAACGAAATGCGAAACAGGGTGTAAGGAAGGAGTCAACAGGGAAGACTGGTGTGATTTTTGTCAGTGTGAGTTTCACAGTGACAACTCTGCTTCATCATGGCATACTTAAGTTTGCCTAAGCCTCCAAAAACTACCCTATTTCTATCGCTCAGCCATACCTCTCCTTGCCACACCACCATAACAGCATAAACTGTTTCCCTTTCCAATATGGCAAGTCTAAGGGGTTTCCTCCTTTTCAGCAAGGCAAGCACTCCAGCAATCTTAAAACAGGATTCTAAAAACAGCTGTTATAAATCATTATAATGCCATAATATTCATTCAGCTAGGCTACTTTACACTAGAAATAGCTCTGTCCCTATCTCTATGACAGATTAAAAAAACCCAAAATGTTGTACTAATACATTTTTCAGAAGAGAAGAGTCTATGCCCAAGATGCACTTGAACTTGAGTCAGCGCAAAGAAATTATTTTGACTGTGGATTCAGATAAAGACAGTATTCCAGTCTAAGAATTTTTGCATCCTTACACTGGAGCTATTAGTTGATTTTTGTGCTCTGCATAAGAGTATTTCTTCCAATGAGGAGGCAAATAAGGAACAGACCCGACTCATGTTGGTAATTAACACAGCTTTAAAGTGATCAAATACAGCATTCACACTGTCCTGGACCAAGGACGTAGCATCAACATGACAGACACCATTACATATCATGCGTAGCTTTCAAAGCACCTCAAAAATGTCACCTCTGTTTTACACACCTATGTGTTTATGAACAGTTTAATGTATTGAATTAGAAGGAGCTGAATTGTACTCACTGGCAGTCCAGGCAGCCCTGGTGGGCCCTGTGGACCTGGAGGGCCATCTTTACCCTGGAAAGAAAGCAGAAACCCTGTCGGTCAGACAAGCTCCTCAGATGCTTCTATCAGATGAAGATACATTCATCTTTTATCAAATGTAGAGTTTGACAAGGGACAACTGTGAGAAGCTGGTCTTGTAGCCCATGTCACAGAGTGTACGAGGTTTCCTTGAATTCCTTTGAGTTTAAACTGGAGAGCTTTCTTTTCACATAAAACATTCAGTATTAGTTATAAGTAGTTACAGATGGAGAAACCACTGAAATATCCGGTAATTTTTTCCTGAAGTTTAATTATATTTAATATTTAGTCTTTAACTTCCTGCATGAGGTGTCCAGCCAGGAAGTAGAAGATCTATATTTTATCTATATTTTATACTTTTATACTATATACTTTATATATTTTATACTCATTTTATCAAATGAGTTGTTATGAGAAGTGCCTTTCTGATGGTCCCAAGAAATCCCCTTACTCTACAGGACTGGACAATAGCATCCCAGGTCTTTCACAGTGTCTCAACCTTGATCATCCATTTGAAAGGGAATTTCAGCCAGCCTGTCCATGTAGTCTCTGGCCTCTCTGCTGAGAGTGCTCACTGATTTCATAACAGCCATCAGAAGGACCATCACTGTTCACTTATGATGTTCAGGTTGAAACGGATCTGCAAAAGGCACCTTGCTCATTAGGAAACCCTGCTCTAGAAATTAATCACAGAATTACACAGTCTTAAAATGTTCCAGCTCAACAGCATGCATTACTCAGGGAAGGTTCATTTCTTCCTTTTCAACCTGAAGTCAGCATCCATCAGATTACCTGTCTCTCCCAGGGTTTTCTGATGCATTACCATAAAGTAGCATCTGAACACCCTTCGAATGAAAGAGCAATAGCAAAATTCTTCACGGACTTCTCGAAGGTTACATCTGTACTAGTATTTTCAGTGGTGCCAGGGAATGGTCTCAGGCCCTGGCATCTGAGCAGTCTGTGCTGTGACATCCTTCAACAGGTTGCTGGTGTCATTTTGGCAATCCCCACGCACAGTTCAGCTGTTAGCCTAGCATCCTAACAGATTTAGTCATCCTGTTCTAGAGGCTAAGAGATGTTAATAGCAAGGACAGACAGACAAGAGGTACAAAAACCTCCTTAGAGGTCCCATGGACTGCATTATGGTCTGGCTAATTTGGAGTTTCTTTTGGTGAGTACACAAAACTGCAAGAACAGAGTAATCTGTGGTTATTTGTGGAGGTCCTACTTGCAGGTGTAGAGCTGATTCAGGCTGAATAGTTTGGGGAGCTTTCAAAGGACATTACATGGGTTCCAGCTCAGCTTTGCTTCACAGAGCTAAATATAGGTGAAGCTGGTGGTGAAACACACAGCTTAGAGCTTACTATGTCTCCTGGGTTTCCTGCTGGTCCTATTGGTCCTGGTGCCCCATCTGGTCCCTAAACAAAATAAAGCAGAAACAACGCGAGTGATGAACGCATTTTGTACATTTGTCAACACACTTCCTACCACAGCTGGCAACACTGAAGTTTTCTTCAGTCAGTTCAGCATTTGTTCCATCATTTCTTCATTCATCACAGAAAAGCAGTGCCAACCTCTGCATTCAATCAGACTCCAAAGCCAGAAATAGTCAGATATTTGAATTTGGTCCTGGCCCTTCCTTCTGAAAATAGGGGACAAATAGGAAAAAGCCAATCTTGTGACAAAAATACTCTGAAAACCAGAAATTATAGGAGCAATCTAGGGGAACATCACATTTTGCTTTGCTTTGACAGGCTCGGTTTTACTTTGCACATTTCCTTTGACTGTGAGTCTATTCAAGGGGTCTCATAGGACAATTTTAAGTGTTGTAATCCTACTGGAATAACCCTATGGCTGTGGCAGTATGAGGTTAATACAGACACGGTAAATGTGTCTGTGCTATTAGCTTCTCTTAAAATAATGCTCATGGGAGCACAAATGACCCACAAAGCAGGTCCACGTGTTGTCCCAGTGGCAAAGCATTCAGCATCCTTTAGGGACTGCTATCATCTGAAAACAGAATTTTAATCTAATCCTCTTTTCTGGTACCTCCTGTCATTTAGTCAGTGCAATGTAAATTCAGCTTTGAAGAGACTGTGCTGTTCCCCAGAACAGTCGAAGGCTGCACACCCTTAGTATGGCAGAGCCAAACTGCACCGTAAGCAGCAATATGAGTGCTGGTGACTGTGGGCAAAGAAAGGCGGTTTGGAAAGAAAAGCCCTTTGCTCAGGAAAAGTCCCAGCTCTTGGAGGGCATAAGCGGTGATACGACAAGCAGGAGAGCCAAGTTATTTCATCCCTGCTTCTGCACTGTCACCCCTTTTTAAATACAAAGAAGCATAATTGTATTCGCAGAGAGAGTAGAGCGAGGAATGAGAAGGACTGTGATGGAGAGGGACACATGTAAAAGGCTTTTTAATTCAAAAGTAACCCACAGCATATGAAAATTGGAGAAAAACCAGTCTCATACCACTGTGTAAAATTAAGAACTAAAATACTTTTAGATCTGCTGGTTCTAGACTGACAACTTATTCCACATATAAGAAAACACCTATACACATACTACTAAGTAGTCTCTGTGGAAGAGTTTTCATGATCATTGCCTTGTATAAAGAGAGTGACTGAAGCTTAGCATCAATTTACAGAGTGAGTTGAAGCAATCAGTGAAAAGTGGCCAATGTGTTAAATAGCAATCATCGTGAGCGGGGAACTCTATGACACTCAGGGGACCATTAGGAACCCGCTGGAAAATGCAAATGCAATGCACAAACAGGTGGAAATGGTCCTTTCTTCCATATGGAGCTTGCAACAATCTTTATTCGCCATTTCAGCGAAGCCACCGAGGCGAAGGGCTCCGAAGCGGAGGATCGCGCCGGGGGAGCCTTCCTGAAGCGGCAAAACCGCGGCAAAACCCGCAAAAAGCAAAGGCGCAGGGAGTGAGAGGGTGCCCCAGCCCCCCACCCCGAGCCGGAGGAGGGAGCCCCTGACGAGCGGCAGCTCTGACTCAGCATGGGCGGGGACAAGAGGGGCGGCGGCCAAACCTCCTCATGTAGAAGAGCAGCCCCCAGGGAGCGCGAGCGACC